TTACCTGGAAATCATTCTTTGTCTTCTTTAAAACTTTTCCATGATTCGTTTACGTTTCATTGGATTTTTTGTCCAGAAAAATTATTTTGCATTCCACTTTTTGTAAGCTTCATACAATTTTGTATACCAAGACATTACAAAATAAACATCTATTGCACATTAAATAATACACTATACACTAAACTTAGTATGTTAATATTAAATAATATACTGCACTTGTATCGTAATTAAAACAAAAAACTGTTTTTTTGTTATGCTTGTGTCAATACTCTGCCATCAACTGATTTTTTCGTCGCTAATTGTCAACAAGAAAACAAAACCCTGCTGCGTGATCAACATATAATACGAGTAGGTTGGTAGTAGTGTCACTAGTATACACGTACAATACAGCGCCTAGCGTGGCACGACTGAGAAACTTGCAATTACGCACTCTATTTGAGAAAATTTAATAGTGCATTTAATTTTTTTAAATTTTCGTGGCATAAAGTGAAGTTACGTTACTTTCAATTAAACCCCCCCCCTCCCCCCACGTAACTTAATGTCGCAATTTGTCATACCCCTACCCCCCCCCTAAATGGCGTTACGTAGTTTATGGATGGCCCCTAAGCTATTTAATTCACCACTTCACCAGGGCTTATTTTGTTCGTCTTTAAATAGCGCATCGTTTTCATATGGAACGTTTTTTTCACCGAATCACAGTTTATCCGATAAAAGCGAATAACATGATTTTGCCATTTTTACAATTTTCATTGGATCTTTTGCTGACATTTTTGTTTGTCTGAAAGTGGTTACGTTTGTTATTGGGCTCGAAATCTATACAATAGTATATGACGCACCTAGTGAGCGAGTTTAAGAATATCGCAGATTTCACGCGAATAAGTGCCTGAGCGAGGTCGAGGGCAGATAACGTGAAATCAAGGACATTTCTTCACCTCCAAACGTAGTGCGTATTAGGTTTTTCATCAATCCTGTGCCGAGAGAAGGGATTTTCGTCCCGTGAAACGACAGTTCCTACTTTCGGCGCAGTATGATGAAAAATAGTACACGCACCACGTTCGGAGGTGAAGAAATGTTCTAGATTTTACGTTATCCGGTTATTCACGTGAAATCTGCAACATTCTTAACCTCGCTCACTAGGTGCGTAATATACTATATATTTTTGCATACCCTCGCCGAAAGGGCTGATTATCTGTTTTGGAGCAGGTCAGATATAAAGCACTTTCGGCGGGGTATGCAGAAAAAAATTTTGTTGGCCTAGTCTGGATTTTCATCAAATAGGAGTAGTTTTCATCTAGTTTGCTGACATTACTACTCTGGGCACTTAGCACTTGGGAGAAGGAAGGGAAGAGAAATGGGAGCCTCCCATTTCTGGGAGAGGGGTAGGGGTATATATATATATAAAATTAAAACGGAAGATATCAATTTTGTGTTATTTATAGTTTATTAAATTATTTGGTGATATAATTCATTTGATAACACGTTTATTTGATACCTGTAGGCGGATGTCAAGAAATATTTCTCTTTCAGATGGAGGTATTTCCAAAATTAGTTGTCTACACGAATATTCTAAAAGACTACAAATCATCTGTAATGAAAAAATAGATTTAGACTAGTCTTTCACATGTTCACAGCATAATCTTGTTAAAATTTAACCCCAGCGGCAATTTGAAAACGTAACAAACTGTAAGAAAAAGTTAACATGAGTAATAATATGCCGTAACCCGCAAGAAAATGTAAGAAAATGTAGGAAACTGTAATATTCTTAGGATTTCGGACATTTTTACATTTTATTATGTAATGTTACGTTTTCTTACATTTTCTTTACGTTTTGATATAATTTATCACATATACTATTACACTAATGATTTTTCATAATCATTACTTAATTTTTTTTATGTAAGGGAAATTTAAGGTAAAAGTTATGAATTACAACAAAATATAAAAAAAGGTGTAATAAACTGCAATAAACTGTAAGCTGTTATAAAATATTACAGATGACACTACCTTACAGTTTCTCAGAGTTTACTACCGTTGATTTTCCACGAGATTCAAGTATCTTTTTAGAATTATAATAAAATGTAACAAGTCGTAAGATAATGTGTTGGGTTGTAGTAGACTATAATCAAACATAACAAAACGTAAAAACTGTAACTGTGGTCCGAAATCAAACCAAACCTTACATTACTTCACAGAAAGTTACGGTTTGCTACGTTTTGTTACATCAATTTTTTCCGTTGGGGTTGGACTACATATTATTTTAAGTTGATTTATTGGCTTATTGTTTCCAAAGCTTGACAATATAATTAACAATGTGTGTAAAATGGATCTGATTTCTTTTCAATTTCTTCAAGGTGTTTTTTATTATAATTTGAAAGTAGCATGTCTTTAGGACATTTCACTTTTGGTGGTATCAATGCTGCTGCAGCATATCTGTTCTCAGCATTCAAAAAATTAAATGTTGAACATGCTTGATGGACTGGTAATATTTCTGCAGGAATTTGATATTTTTTAAAAATTAAATGTAAATTTTGTAAGAATTCAGAAGTACGTGGATAGTCATCATCTAAACCAACAACACAAATATCAAGCTTCGGTTCAAGATGAAAGAGGAGTGAAAATGATTTTTCATTCATTTCAGATGATCTTGCTATATTCCAACTTAACATAGTTTTTGGAAAAATAATCATTGGTCCAATTGTTTTAATTCCGTTGTTTAAAATAAATCCATACTAAAAAATATTATTATGAGAAAAAGTTGTCATTTGAAAATTCACTGTAACTTAATAGGTTTAAATAGTGACAACGAATATAACTGCTTCTTGAAGCACACCCTAGTGTTCAAAACTTAAGAAACAATTTATTAACAAGTTGCTCGTTCATATATATACTAAGGCAGCATTGTAGTACTGTTAACCAAGCTTAAAGAAGCATGTAAGTATTGCATAGACAACATTTAATGTTTCCCAATGGTTTAGGATTTCTCTCACTACCTGGGTGACTGCTTCTATTAGCGTCTATAAACGTTGATAAAAATCTAATTTTATTTACAAATACCTCACTGACATTGTCTATCATCAGACCGTAATCAAAATTTTTGTTCAAAATTGTAACAGTTGTTTTCCCATCTGATTCGTATGAACAAGCTGAACGAACATATAAATTTCTACCAAAATAATGCTTATAAGTTTAACAATTTAATTGTGCTCTAAAACAAAATTCTGTATACCTTTTTAACACGTAATTAGGAAACGCGAATAATGTCTGAAGTACAGACGACATTTTCTTAGGAGTTTTTATGACATTCGTCTACTTCAGAAGTGTAACTTTCCACACCGTGGGGGAGATTTGTGTCGTCTAATGTACACTGCTCTTAAGACGTCTGAAACTAAGGGCCTATATACAGCAAGATTGCCATAACGCACAGCGTATCTAAATATTCTTATGACCTGGTCCTTACCGCCTTACCCTTAGGCGTAGAGCACGAAGTTGTTGATGGCCGAAGGCGTTGTTGAATAAATTAAATATTACAAACACTAATTTCCACACAACCTGGAGCGTTTAATGGTCTCTTTATTTATTTAAAATAAATGCAATGATAAGACAAGCGCCAATCCCCAAGCAAACTAGAAAGCTTACTAGTCCCTTTATTTATTTAAAATTAATTAAATAACACAAGCGCCAATCCCCAAAAGACCCAGAGCACTAACTAGTCGCTTTGCAAATAAATAAATTAATTGAATAAGACAACCGCCAATCACCACTTGACCTAGGGCACTTACTGGTCAGTTGTTATCAGATAAATTAATTAAATATTACAAGCGCCAATCTTTACACGACCCAAGGCACTTACGAGTCGCTTCGTTATTACAAAAATAAACTGAATAACACAAGCGCCAATCTCCACAAGAAATAAAGCACTCACTGGTCGCTTCTTATTAAATCAATTAATTAAATAACACAAGCGCTAATCTCTACACTTCCTGGGGCACTAACTGGTCAATTAAGTAATAAATAAAAAAATCAATTACCTCAAGCGCCAATTGCCACACAATCCGGGGCTACTTGCTCCTACTTGCATTATTTTAAATAAATTTAAAAACACCGACTAGCTGCTTTGTTACTAAATTCATAAAGTAATGAACACAAGCGTCAATCTTCTTACAACCAAGGGCTCTCACTGGTCAATTGTTAATAAATGGATTAGTTAAATAACCCAAGCGCCAATCTGCACACGACCCGTGGCACTTACTGGTAACTTTGTTATTAAATAAATGAATTAAATATCACACGCACCAAGCACCACACGCCCTGAAGCACTCCTTGGTCGCCATGTTATTAAATAAATTAAATAACACAACTGCCAATCAACACTCAACCCAAGGCGCTGACTAGTCGCTTTGTTATCAAACTAATAGAATTAAGAGTACAAGAGCCAATCCCTACAGAACCGAGGGCTGACTAGTCGCTCTGTTATTAAATTACAAATGAATTAACACAAACGCTAATCCCCACACGACCTGATGTGTTTACAGGTCATTTAAACTTTATCAAATTAATTAAATAACTTAAGCGCCGATCTCCACAGGACCTGGGGCACTAACTGGTCACTTTGTTATTAAATAAATCAATTAAATAACACAAGCACTAATCTTCACACGACCTAGGGCACTTACTGGTCGCTTTATTTTTAAAAATTTTAATTTTATAACACAGGCGCCAATCCCAACACAACTTTGGACGCTTACAGGTCACTTCATCATTAAATAAATAAAATAACACAAGCACCATGGTAAACAGAA